TCTTGCAACAGGCTCAAGTGATAGAACTGTGAGGCTGTGGGATATTAACATGAGGGGAGCTGTGCAGACAATGAGCAACCACACTGACCAAGTTTGGGGAGTGGCATTTCGACCAGGGGGAATGCCTGGTAGACTTGCTAGTGTGTCAGATGACGAGCATATCGTTATATTACTCTTGAAGTGGGTGGCTCAGGGAGAAACAAGAACATGGATAATTTATGTTGTTTCAATGTAAATCACTGCCTTTGGTGTTCTGTGCCTGAGTGTTCCTATGAAATTGGTTTGTTTGAGAACTTTTTATGATACCTAAACAAGTGTTGTCCAGGAAATGCACACCTTTTTGTCGGATCATTTACCAATGAATTGGGGAACCCTTTACAACCAAAAACAAAAAAAGAAAAAAAGAAAAAGCATACCAAAGAATTTGGGAACTCTTAGAAATGACTTTGCTAAAAATGTGTATTCTAGGCTCTCAACTTTGACCAGTATTTGGCATGTGTGTTGTGGTCATTTTTCCAGTTAAGCCATTCAATGACCCTTTCTTCTGAAATTGGATATAATCGTATGATGTTTCTTTTAGATCGGTTGTGGATCAGGGTTGCTTCTTTGGTCTATGCTCGATAAATCAAAATAAACCTGACAGATTTCACTCTCCTCATGTTTTTTCTTTATTCTTTTTTCGCCTTTACGTTTGATGTTGAAGCAAAATTTCAGTGAAGATAGCCTTTACGTCTGTGTAACAGCAAAATCACAGATGCTTTTAACATCGTATCCATCCACAATCCAACATTCCAAACTAGATTGACAGCATTGCCAAAAACTTCATGACTACACTTGACACAACCCACTGGAAACTCATTCCATCTATGCAGACAGAGAGTTGAGCAAGAAATAAGAGTCTCTGATTATTATAATAGTTCTTATCATATTCAAACTCAGAAGGCTTTGTGCCAAAAATCAGGGTTGGTGCAAAGAAAACAAACCAGAAAAGGATTTTTGCCAATAAGTAGGGCTTCATGCCAACTAAAAGTTCACTCAAAATCAACACAATTAGGCTTTGTGCCAATAATTAGAGGTCTCCCAACATTTCTAAGCAAGTTAAGGGAGTTTGCTCATCACTACAAGTTGAATTATGCGGAAATAATACGTCTAACCTATGAATACATACATGGTCTCTAAGTCAAACTTAATTTTCCTATTCATGAATTGAGACAAGTTTGTGTTATAGAGCTACAAAATTTCGATTCCTTCTCATCACTTGACCTTTACTCGATGTAGAACTTTATTCTATATCCTAATGATGACATGACATAGTTTTGGACTAACAAGAGGCATATGCCTCTGCTATTAGAGATAAGCTTCAAGTCTAGGAAATTGGCTTGTTAAACAGGCATCAGCGAAACCATCTCTTGATATAGACAACAACTCTTGTCAGAATTTTAGGATATGCATCCTATATGTGAAGGAACATTCCAACCAAAAGAAAGATCACTTCAATATTTTTTTCAGTTATAAGATTGTTGAAGCATAAAATTTCGGGTCCTCCAACAAGTAGTCTTGTAATCAATGTTGAGAAGTAGGACACCGTCTTCACTTGCCACCAATGAAGCAGGAAGGGGTACTTGCAAGAAAATACGCTGACGCTCAAGTTTGTAAGAGTTCAAGAAGATTGCAGTAGAGTTTAGAATAATATTGCCCTCTTTTCCTCCTTTGGGTAGTAATGGAGTCAGGATTTCACAATAGAGGGGGCCCTTCACACTTCACAATTTTTTAATTATAAATAATTCAAATATGAGCACTAAAGCACTAACCTATTAATAAATTAGTACGATAATAACTACTTAGTTTAGCCCACTTCATAATATCATTTCATATTGATTAATCCATTCATTACAATCATAATTGCATTGAATATTAATCTCATCATCTACACTATTAAAGACT